AACTTTTTAGTTGCATTATTTGTTTTTTTTTGTTGTTTTTTTTTTTTTTTTTTTTTTTGCTATTGAGGTACAGGAGTGTAATATGGAGCATGGAGTCCAGTGGGTTCTTTGTTTCGTGAATTCTAACAATGAGATTCATGGACAGCAGAGAGTGATAACAAAGTATAAGGATTTATCAGAGCAAAGTGAAGCAAAGCTCCATGATTGGGAACAGAGAGGGGTGCCCATGAATGGCTATTGTCTGTTGGTTGATATGGATCTACAGGTTTAAGGAAGTCAGCCCTCAGCCCAATCCTGGGTAAAGCACTCAGTGTCCATGAGGCATTTAGCCCAACAAAAATACTGATCAAGTGTTTTTTTCCTTCTTTGAAGAGACTGTGGACTCCAGATCACATATGTCCTGATTTTTAAAATAATCTTTTTGCAAGTTTCTCAGCAAAAGCCTGCAGTTGCTGTTTGTGGTCTGTTGCTCAGGAAATCACCAAGAGACCCATTACCCTATCTGCCTAGCCTTATCTCTTCCTCTTGACCTCAGGAGGAAAGGAAAAATTTCCCTACACCTCCTGAAAATTCACTGGGATAAACTGACCAAGACTACATAAGAGAAAGAGCATACAAATGTACTGACCTGGAGAAAACCACAGCATGGGGGGATATCACAGGAGTGTGATCACCCACTAACTTAACCATATCCAGAAATTTACATATCCCTTTTTCTATAGGGGAAAGGGAAATGAAGGATATAGACAATTTTGAGGTCCTGTAAATGATTTTTAGGGAAAGGGAATGGTTCTGGAGACAGTGTCTTGGAATCCAAGCATATGAAAAGCACAGAGCTTATCTTATCATGCCGAAATCTGTTCAGGTGAGGTCACTTTCTTCCTTTCTCTTTTGATGATGGGAGGCAATTGTATTCCCTGTAGCTTATCTGGTCTTAATGCAGATGAGAGAAATTCCAGAGAAAGCAATAAAGCTTTTAAGGGTTTTTAATCTTCTTTGGATCAAATAACTCAGCATGCTACAAACACCATAATTTGGAGGTGTTGGTCTCTGAGCCCCAACAGAGGTGTATGAGTTTCTGATGTATTTGGGATAGTAACCCTTTTATATTTTGAGATATATGGTTTGCAAATATTTCCTACCATTCCCCAGATCTCCTTTTCATTTCATCTATTATTTTCTTGGTGGTGCAGAGGCTTTTTAGTTTGGTATTATTTCAAGGAAAAAAAATGTAAACTTTTTTTTTTTTTTTAATCTTTCTGTTTGATTCATGAACTGGAAAGAAGTCATCCCCCATAAAGGTCTGTGACTCCAGGTGTCAGTGGGAATTTCCACACCATACACTCTGAAAGAATACACCAGGATTCAAAGTCAGAGAGACTTCTTCCTGATCTGTGATATTGGGAAAAATTCACAGTGTTAAGTGTCTTTTTATGCTAATGGTGATTGAGGGCCCTCAGCCCCTCGGAAGCCTCCAAATGAGACAGGTCTCCGGAAAGACCTGGGCAAGGTTAGAGGTTGGGAACTTTACAGGGGGACAGGGGCTGGAGGTTAAGTTGATTCCCAGTGGCTAAAGCACATAAGTAGGTTAACTCACTCCTGGCACTAGCTAATCTGTTTTTCACAGTTTCTGTTTTGCCTCACTCCCCAAATAATTAACCAATGAAGTCAGCCTTGCCTGAAAAGAAGAATGAAGGAAAACATCAAGGAACAATACCTGGCATATGACCTCCTAATCAGTAATCTTTAGATTTATAGGAACCAAGAACAATTGGAATGCCTAGTAACCTGGACAAAATTGAAAACCATGTCAAGGGCTGGGGATGTGGCTCAAGAGGTAGTGTGCTCGCCTGGCATGCGTGCGGCCCGGTTCGATCCTCAGCACCACATACAAACAAAGATGTTGTGTCCGCCGAAAACTAAAAAATAAATATTAAAAAATTCTCTCTCTCACTCTCTCTTGTAAAAAAAAAAAAAAGAAAGAAAGAAAACCATGTCAAGAGAACTGATTGCTACCCACATGAAAGACCATTCCTATACTCACCAGGCTATGGCTAAAGTTAGACTCCCACAGAAACCTCAAATAAACTTTTGCACCTGTGAGCCCTGGCAAAATGGAATTTGGGTGGCAATCCTTTGTCCTCTACCTGACAGCTTATTACCAATAAATTTGTTTTGTTCTGATCACTGTTTCTCTGGCTTTCTCAGGTGGCAGCAAACCTGGACTTTTTTGGGGTATGTGACCAATGATTTAACCAATTGGTGCCTACATAAGGAAATTTGCATAAACCCCCCCCAGGATGCAGTTCAGGGAGCTTCCTGATAGCTGAACACCTGGGAGTTCCTGGAGGGTGGTGCATCCACAGAGGGTGGGGGAGACTAAGTCTCTACCCACACCATATGTGCTTTTTCATCTCTATCCTTTGCAATGTTCTTTATCACAAACCAGGAAACACGTTTCCCTAAATTCTGTGAGCCACTTTGGCAAGTTAATTGAACCAAAGAAGGGGGTGTTGGGAAACCTGATTTATAGTTGGTTGGTCAGAAGTTTTGTGAGAGGGACTTTAAGAGAGGCTGCCTTCTCTAAAGGCAATGAATCTTAGGCCCGCAGAGGCCCCAGCGTTGATGGTGCATGCCTGTTATCCCAGCCACACAGGAGGCTAAGGCAGGAGGATCCAGAGGCCAGCTTCAGCAATTTAACATTGGTCTACTTCAGCTTTTGAATATAGTTATAAGGCTTATTTTTAAAAGGGACATATTTTCTTTTTCCTCTTCTCCCTCTCCTCCTCCCTAACTTGGGGGCGGAGAATAAGATTACCAGGAGTCATCTGTGCTCCACAGGATCTAGGAAGTAAATATCTTCCAAATTAACAAGTGAATCCTAACATACCAGCAGGGCGCCCTGGGCCCCCCTACCAGAGCACACCTGGAAGGCAACCCTTGAAAATTTCTTTAAAATCCCCTGGTTCCTGCAGATGGGCGGATTCACAATTTCAGGGACCAGAGTCACCAGGGTTTCTCCTTTGCTAGCAAAGCAATAAAACAACATTTTCCTTTTCCTCAAAACCGTGTTGTCCTTATTAAATTGGCATTAATTGGCATTGGGGACAGGAACCGAGCTTTTGGCTACAGCAAGACCTGTTTTAAAACAAAAATTTTAAAAGGTCTGTAGCTATAGCTCAGTAGTGGTAAAGCACTACAGGGTTCAATCTCCAGTTTTTACAAAATGTCATTTTATATCTATCTTTTTTATCACCTTAACTACTTTGGTCACATCCTGTTACTGGGCAACATTAATAGCACTCAGGTGAGGGGCAGGGGGTGTGGAGAGGCTAGCCTAAACCATTTGCTGCTCCATCATATATATTTGGAATCAAGTTGGTAGGAAAACAGGTTTTATTCAAGGCCACCTTTGAAGGAAGATGGATGAATGTATTGTTTCAAAAGTTTCATTTTAGAAATATCTGAGGGCAAGCAAAGTGGTTTTTTTTTTTTTGGGGGGGGGGGCACCAGGGACTGAATCTCAGTGGCTTAATCACTGAGTCACATCCCCAGTCCGGGTTTTTTTTGTTTTTTGTTTTTTTTTTGGTACTGGGGATTGAATTAAGTGGCACTCAACTACTGAGCCATGTCCCCAGCCCTATTTTGTATATTATTTAGAGACAGGGTCTCACTGAGTTGCTTAGTGCCTCGTAGTTGCTGAGGTTGGCTTTGAACTCTTTTTAAAAAATATTTTTTTCTAATTGTTGATTGACCCTGATTTTTTTTTTTTTTTTAAGAATTTAATCTTTATTTTATTTGTTGTTGTTTATGTGGTGCTGAGGATCAAAGCAGGGCCTCACCAGTGCTAGGCAAGCGCTCTACCGCTGAGCCACAACCCCAGCCCCAGCAGGACCCTTAGTTTATTTATTTATATGTGGTGCTGAGAATTGAACCCAGGGCCTCGCACATGCTAGGTAAGCCCTGGACCACTGAGGTACAACCCCAGCCCTCGATTTGAACTCTTGATCCTCTGGCCTCAGTCTCCAGAGCTGCTGGGATTATAGGTGTTTGCCACACAACCTGGCCCAAGGTGTCACTAAATTCTTGACCCACATTTGAAGAAGAGATAGTCCTAGGGACTGAGCCCTCCATCTATGGAATCTGATACTATTTCCAGGTGGAAAGGGTCAAAAGTGTGCCGGGCATGGTGGTCTGTAGTCCCAGCAGCTTGGGAGGCTGAGATGGGAGGATTGCAAGTTCAAAAGCCAGCCTCAGCAACTCAGCAAGACCCTGTTTCAAAATAAAAATATACAAGAGGCTGGGGATGTGGCTCAATGGTTACGCACTCTTGACTTCAATTCCCAGTACTAGAAAGAAAGAGAGAGAGTGAGAAAGAAGGTGGGAGGGAGGGAGGGAGGAAGGAAAGAAAAGATAAGATCAAAAGTCAATTAAAGACATACCACTGGTATCTGCTGAGGAGTTGTTGGCTTGGTGTATGGGAAAAAACCACCTACACATTTGATCCAGAAGTGCTCTGTGTTATGAGAGTAGAGCAGGAGAAACTGAGTTTGTTCTTTCTATTCATTCACCTTCCTACCAGCTAATAATGCTCACATCATGTGTTAGACACCCATATATAGAACTTACAGATACATTATCTGCCTTGAAGTCGAACATTAGCTGGAACTTGGGTCAAAGACACATCAAATGAAACTCCCCACTTAAAAAAAAAATTCTTTTGCCATACTGGGGATCGAACCCAGGGACACTTTACCACTAAGCTATATCCCCAGCCCTTTTAACTTTTTAATTTTGAGTCAGGATCTCATTAAGTTGCTGAGGCTGGTCACAAACTTGTCATCCTCCTGCCTTGGCCTTCAGAATCCCTGAGGTTGTAGACATGTACTGCCGCGTCCGGCCAAGGGAGCCGAGTCCGGCGAGGGACGGCGAGGTTAAAAGACACACAGGACACCAAGGTTCTTCATCCAGGAGTCAATAATAATCTTTATTGCTAACACACCTTTTTTTATACCCCAAGCAGCAGAAGTGGAAAACTACCCAAAAGCAGGAGGGAGGGGGGAGAAATTTAGTTTCAACATCTATTATTGTCAGGTACCGAAACCTCCCTTAACAATAAGTCCATCAGACCAGAAAAGGTCAAGGCATTCCCGTGGGATACATATGTCTCAGACGGATAAGCAGGAACAGAAAAACCGCAAGTTCGCCATGGCCTTGTGAGCTGGCCACACTGGCATGCAGAACAAACTAGTGGAGGTAGGGCTCCAGGGGCCAAGGTGGACCTGTTGCCAACAAGTCCCCCTCTTTTGTTTTTTGCATGTCAGTGGGAATCAAGTAGCCCCTGTCTTAGGTCGTTCACAGCCCTTGCGATGCTTACCCGTCTCTGGGAAGGCCCCGATTCCCTGGCTTAGGTCGCACAGCAAGCGTGAAAGTTGCCCGTCACTGGGTACTACAAGATCAGCTCAAGGTGTTATGACCTATCAAGACATTATTGCGGTAAACGCTTAACCGTCTCCACCCACGGGACCCATGACCGTCACCGCCGAATGGCAGATGTGATTGGACCGAGAGATTAGACAGCAAAGATCCTAGTACAGGAAGGCAAGAGGGAGAGGTATGCATAGAGAAAAGATATGGCAGGAGTTCTTTTTTTAAGGAGGACACTCATCTTCGGATAGGTCTGAAGTATATCTCAGAGAGGCGATCATCCATCTTCAAGCGTTGATAGTGAACCTGTATTGGCTTAGAGGCTAAGATATTAATTTGATCCTTAATGAATTGTACTATCTTATTTACAATGTAGGGTCCTATTGCCACTACTAGAAGGAGGCCTAACAATGGTCCCAATAAGGGAAGAAGATAAGGCAAAAATCCATTAAGTCCAGTCCAGAGAGGGTTCTCAAATAATTCCCTCCTCCTTTTTTCTAGGTCTTCTTGGAGTTGTTTAATTTTTGTGCGAACTATGCCAGATTTGTTAGCATAAAAACAGCACCTCTCCCCAAGGGCTAAACAAATTCCCCCTTGATTGGCAGTAAGCAAGTCTAAACCCCGCCTGTTCTGAAGAACTACTTCTGCTAGGGAGTCTATCTGGTCTTGTAAGTCTTTAATGGTTCCCGACAGGGTTTGCACATCATCTAGGATGATGTAGGATTGGAACTGTTAAGTAAAGAAAAGGTAGTTTCTAGGATATCTAATGTATTGGCATCTAAATCAGGAAACTGGGATTTGGGCAATATCAAGGGGTGGTATGTAGGCTTAGGGATCTCCGGCTTTAAAAGCTTAATCACCTGAAGGTGTTTAATAGCATCAGTGGGTCCCCCTCCGTCAGAGATTCCGATAGGGGCCTGCATGGGCCAGCAGGAGGGTTTACCCACGACGCCCTCACATCCCGCCTCAGTTAACCGAGTCGTGATGCCTTCCCCTCCCCGGTCACCAAGAAAAGGAATATAATTATAAGTGGTCCCCCATTCTCCACGGGTGTTAGTTAGGATGGCCTCAAAATACTGTTTTCCTTGATTATTAACACAAATTGAGGCCGATGTATAACAGGAGATGTGCATTGCCGGGGTGTAATGACAAGTGGCGGAACAGCTTCCAAGAGTCTTGGTCGGATTAGGGACAACAAGTCCGGGCTTATTAACACATACCCATTTTGGTTGTTTAAATCCTCCGATGTTTTCATTGAGTTCAGCCGCCATGTAGGCTACTTTAGTCCCACAATCAATGCTCTGGATATAACCAGAGGGGGCCGAGTGCTGGGGCCCTCCCTTACACTCACAAGGGGCTCCAAAAAGATATTCATGAATATTCCCAGGTGGGGGGTCAAGCCCTCCTTCAGCAAACCTGTCCAGAAGGAATGCCACAAGAGGGGTCCAGCTCATGAGGTGTGTCTCGGCACTCACTTGAAGGGGTGAGAACAACAGCGGCAGGATCAGCCATCTTGGGAACTTCATTTTGTCTTGAATTTTCATTCACCGGTCTGGTGCAGCGCTCTGGGATCCAAATGGGCTTCTCAGTTCCTGGGGGAAAAACACATACAGCTCCCCTCACTCTAGCTAAGAGTGGAGCCGGGGGTTGCCACTTTCCGGTGGATAAATCTTTCCACCTTATTTGAGCATCTTGTACAGTGGGAGGGGAAAAGTGGCGTTGTGCAGCCGTGCGCCCTCCAGTGTCAGTGAGTAAAAAATTTAAAGTAAATAAGGTTATGCTTAGAAGTGCTTGTGGTCCCTGACAATTCCGGTATATCTCCCCCTCTTTTGTTTTTTGTAAATAAGTTTTTAAATGTTGATGGGCTCGTTCCACGATAGCTTGTCCCTGTGGATTATAAGGGATTCCAGTCTTATGATTAATTTCCCATTGGGTGCAAAACCGTTGAACCGCCTGACTTACATATGTGGGACCATTATCAGTTTTGAGGCATCGTGGGGTGCCCATGGAGGAAAAGGCTTTTAGAAGATGACTGATTACATCCTTAGCCTTCTCTCCAGTATGTAAGGTGGCAAAAATGAAGCCAGAATATGTGTCAGTGGAAACATGTATAAAGGAGAGCTTACCAAAGCTAGGGAAGTGTGTAACATCAGTTTGTCAGACATCATTAGGTTGTAGTCCTCTTGGATTAACCCCAAGGGAAGGAGAATGAATAAATGGTGCACAGGTTGGACATAATGAGACAATCTGTAAAGCTTGGTCTCGTGAACATCCTGTGTGGAAGCGTAAAGACTGTGTATTTAAATGAAATTTGTTATGGAATTGTAAGGCCTTATCATATTTGGTCGTCACACAGGAAAGGCCAACAGCATGAGTAGCAGCGTCTGCTTTTGCGTTGCCCTCTGACAAAGGTCCAGGGAGCCCTGAATGGCTTCGGATGTGGCCAATGTATAAAGGATCTCGTCTAGCCCAAATGAGAAGCTGAAATACCTGTAGTTGTTCTGTGATGGTGGATTGCTTGCCAATATATGATGCTGTTTTTATGACTAGAGCCAGATTGGCTACATACAAGCTGTCAGTATACACATTAAGAGGAATAGAGCTATAGACTTTGAGAGCTATGATTAAAGCTTCAACTTTTGTCTTTTGGGCCGACTGACCTGACACAGGTTGTCGGAGAATTTGAGATCCATCAAAAACGACAGCAAATCCATTTTTGGCCCCATCTGTATATACAGTTTGGGCCTTTGGAATAGGTTCCCTTTTCATAATCTTTGGGAAGATAATGGGACACCTTTTAAAGCCCTCCAAAAGTCTATGTTTAGGGAAGTGATTATCAATCTGACCCTTGAAGCTGCACAGGAAAAGACACCAAAGGTCATGTTTTTGTTGTAACTTGTGTATCATATCTTGAGTGTAAGGTTGAATAAGTATGTCAAAGGTTTTTCCAAACAATGCATCACCCAAATATTTAGCCTTCCAAATTAAGTTAATAACTAGCTCATAAAAGGGAGTCAATACCCGGGGGTTAGAAGCCGGCAAGTGGACCCAATAAATGGGACCCGTTTGCCAGAACACTCCTGTGGGAGTAATTTTAGAAGGTAGAACTATAAATGACAAGGGCAGAGAATAATTTATCTGCGTAATCTGCATGTCCTGCAGAGCCTCTTTTATTAGCCTCAGTGCTCGTAAGGCTTCTGGTGTAGGTACTCTACACGACGTAGGAGAAGGATCTCCTCGCAAGAGGTCATACAGGGGTTTGAGCTCTCCAGTTGGAATATGAAAGGATGGGCGCAGCCACTGTATTTCTCCGAGGAATGTCTGCCACTGATGTAAAGTTTTGAGCTGATTTATCTGGAACTGGGGTCTCTGGGGAAAGATTCCTATGTTATTAATGATATATCCCAAATAATTGTAAGGGTGTTGAAACTGCACCTTTTCGGGTGCTATGACCAGCCCTGCCCCTTTTAGAAGGGATTGGAGGACTTCATAAGATTGAAGAAGTTTTTTTTTCTTGGGCCCTGCCAGTAAGATGTCATCCATATAATGAATGAGGTAGAGCTGTGGGAACTGCTGTCGAAAGGGTCGCAAAACCTCAGCTACAAAATATTGGCACATTGTAGGACTATTAGTCATCCCTTGAGGTAGGACAGTCCATTCATACCGTTGGTAAGGTTCCCTAAAGTTTGTGGAAGGCAAGGAAAAAGCAAAACGCTTTCGGTCTCGTGGGTCTAAGGGGATAGAAAAGAAACAATCTTTTAAATCTATAACAATAAGATGCCAATCCTTTGGGATCGCAGTAGGAAAGGGTAGCCCTGGTTGTAAGGGTCCCATGGGTTGCATAGTTTTATTAATAGCTCGTAGGTCCTGAAGAAGTCTCCACTTCCCAGACCCCTTTTGTATAACAAAAATAGGGGTATTCCAAGGGGAGGTAGAGGGCACCACATGTCCTAACTTAAGCTGGTCTTGAACTAATAGGGAAGCGGCCTGTAATTTGTCCTTAGTTAGGGGCCACTGTTCTACCCACACAGGGTCATCTGATAACCAAGTAATGGACAGTGGAGGTGGCCGCACTTCAGTGGCCCCTAGGATAAATTTCCCAGTCCTCTCCGGTCTCTTCCCCGCCGGGTAACCTGTTCTGCTGGATCCACGGGTGATATTCTGCCCTCATGTCTCTTTCCTAGTCCCCTTCCAGGGATCCATCCCATGTCTAGCATTGCATCATTAACAAAGTCATTATTTCCTTTTAAAGTCTGGGTAGTGAGAATAGCCCCCATTTGATGAAGCAAGTCCCTCCCCCAAAGGTTCGTGGGGAGTCCAGTCACCACATAGGGCTGGAAATGGCCACTATGTCCTTCGCCATCTCTCCATTTTAAAAAGGAGGCACTTCTTTTTGGTCGGGTCTGTCCTATCCCCTGTAATATGGCCGAGGGACTCTGGAGGGGCCAGGCAGGTGGCCATTGTTTTTCAGAAATGACAGAGACATCCGCCCCCGTATCTAGTATTCTCTTGAAAGCCTTGTCCTGTATCTCAATGGTCAGGTTGGGACGCGAATCCAAATGAGCTACCCAAAAGGCCTGGGGAGTTCCAGTGGAGCCAAAGCTGCCGTCGCCCCGGGACCCACGGAGGGCGTGCCCAGGAATGGAAGCTAAGGGTAGCAGCAGCAATTGAGCTATATGCTCCCCGGGGGGAAGAATAACAATTTCTTGGGTAGCTTCTACTACTATTTTTATTTTTCCCTGATAATTAGCATCAACAACCCCCGTAAGAATCTTCAAGCCCCACTGAGTTGCGCTACCTCGTCCCAACACTAGTCCCACCGTCCTCTCTGGCAGGGGTCCAAAAACCCCAGTAGGCAGCGTCTGAGGTCCCATTTGGGGAGTTAATACCGCTCGGGAGGTGGAACTGAGGTCCAGTCCTGCGCTTCCTGGTGTTCCCCTGGGGAGTTTCCAGATAGAAAGGGGTTGGTCAGTGGGAGGCGGCGGAGACGCCCACTCCCTGGGGCACTGTTTCGTCCCTGCATTGCCCCGTACACTTTGGCTTCCGGGGCCCGGGGCGGGCCCCTGCTCCCGTTTCCCGACGGTATTGGGTTACCCTGGATGTCAAATTTTGACCTGTACTCACTGCTCCAATGATTTCCTTTATGACATCTAGGACAAAGTCCAGGCATCCCTCTGCCAGCACCCTCGCTCCTTTCCGGGCAGTTTCTCTTTATATGTCCCTCTTTCCCACACTTAAAACACCCCTTAGAGCGGGTTCCCCTGTTATCAGCTTTTTGCATTCCAGTCTTAAGGGCAGCAGCCAAAACCTGACCAGTAATATGAGGCCCATCTATATCTTTGCATGCTCGAATCATGTCATCTATACTTTTGGCCCGGGAGGACTTAATAGCATTTTGGCAGTAAGTGTTAGCGTTTTCATATGCCAGTTGTCTAATAAGTGGCATAGCCTGTTCCAGATTAGGGAATATTTTTTCAGCAGCCTGCATTAGGCGGGCTATAAAGTCTGAATAAGGTTCAGAGGGTCCTTGAGAGATCTTGGAAATTTTTGCTTCAGTCTTAGAAATGGGCAGGGCTTTCCAGGCATGAACTGCAGCTGAGGCTATTTGAGCATAAACACCTGGGTCGTAATTAATTTGTTGGCCTATGGTGGCATACTGCCCAGTTTCTGTCAACATTTTAGCATTTTGCCGTTGATGGCCCGCATTCAGGTTAATCTGAGCCAGCTCGCGGCACCTTTTATGATATTCACTTTTCCACAATAAGAAATCCCCTCCAGATAACACAGCCCTGCAAAGTTGCTGCCAATCATTAGGTATCAGTTGACTGGCTGAGAAAGACTCGAAGAGGGTCAATGTGAAAGGGGCATGAGGTCCATAATTAATGACCGCCTCCTTAAGCTGTTTTATGTCCTTGAAGGCTAGGGGGACATGGGCTCTGGCCGGCTGTCCATCAGCATCGGCGTTTTCAATCATTGGAAAAACCTGAGCCGCTCTAGAACCCCAGTGGACCCCCGCCCGTCTAGTAGGGGCGTCCTCATTCCAATCAGGATTATAGGGAGGAGGTGCGGCAATTGAGGGGGCCCTAGGCACCCTCACATTTGTCCTTTTAAGGCTATGTTCTAGTTCCTCTATCTCCCTTTCTAATCCCTCCTCTTCCTCAGAGAGAGAACTGAGGTCCTCAGGATCCTTTTTGGGCTTAGAAATCTGGAGGCGTTTCCTACCCCCCGAGCCCGAGTCCTCAAGAGGACCCTCATCCTTTAAGGATTCTGCCATTTGCTCTTTCTGCACCTGATTAAGGGCCTGTTCACATTCAGCAAGCTGATCCTTGATCTTTACTTTATCTGTTAATAAAGCATCCTTTACCAACCTCCATAAGGAAAAGGTGGCAACTGGGACACTGTCCGAGCCCCGGTCCCTCAATAATTTCTGAAGGTCATGCCTCACCAGGTCCCAGTCACTATTATTAAGAAATCCTCCTGTCAGAAACCAAGGACAAGCCTGGGCAATAATTTCAACGAATTCGGTTGCAGTCTTAGTTTTTATTCCTGTTCCTTGTGTATTTAACAGCTCTTTCAGTTCGTTGGCCAGACGAACCTTCGCTGTTGAGTTACCCATGGTACGTACCCTGTCTCTTTAAATTATCTTTAAACCAATCCTCCCCCTTCTTTCTTAGAAGGTGAGCCCCGTCCGCTTACCCCTGCTTTCCGGATCTCAGTGGGAGCCTCCAATTGCCGCGTCCGGCCAAGGGAGCCGAGTCCGGCGAGGGACGGCGAGGTTAAAAGACACACAGGACACCAAGGTTCTTCATCCAGGAGTCAATAATAATCTTTATTGCTAACACACCTTTTTTTATACCCCAAGCAGCAGAAGTGGAAAACTACCCAAAAGCAGGAGGGAGGGGGGAGAAATTTAGTTTCAACATCTATTATTGTCAGGTACCGAAACCTCCCTTAACAATAAGTCCATCAGACCAAAAAAGGTCAAGGCATTCCCGTGGGATACATATGTCTCAGACGGATAAGCAGGAACAAAAAAACCACAAGTTCGCCATGGCCTTGTGAGCTGGCCACACTGGCATGCAGAACAAACTAGTGGAGGTAGGGCTCCAGGGGCCAAGGTGGACCTGTTGCCAACAATGTACCACTGTACCCAGCTGAATTTTCTAAGTCTTATACAGGTCAAATTCCTTTTGAATTAGAAAACCAAACAAACTATTTGTTTGTTTGTTTATTTGTTTATTGGTGCTGTGATGGAATCTATGATCTCACGAAAGAGTGGAAGAGTTAACCACTGAGCTACACTCCGAGCCTGATCAAAAAAAAAAAAAAACTTTAAAAATTATGGTGTTAAAGAAAAAAAAAAAACCTAGAAATAAAATTAAAAAACAAAAATTATAGGGTCAAGCCAGGTGTGGTGGCACATGCCTGTAATTCCAGCAACTTGGGAGGCTGAGGCAGGAGGATCTCAAGTTCAAGACCAACCTCAGGAACTTGAGGTGAAACCCTGTCTCAAAATAAAAAATAAGTATGGGTGGGGGCTGGGAATATAGCTCATTTGGTAGAGTGCTTGCCTCACATGTGCAAGGCCCTGGGTTCACTCAGTGACACTGAGCCACATCCCCAGCCCTATTTTGTATTTTATTTAGATAGGGTTTCACTGAGTTGGTTAGCGCCTCTCTGTTGCCGAGGCTGACTTTGAACTCCTGATCTTCCTGTCTCAGCCTCCCAAGCTGCACGCACCATGGCGCCTGGCTATTGTTCTCTTAATAGGTAAAGAAACTGAAGAAAGAAAATTTATACCTCTTAAGTTGTCAAAGCAAGGACTGGGGGTATGGCTCAGTAGTAGTGTGCTCACCTAGCATGCAGGAAGCCCTGGGTTCAATCCCCAAAACTGAAAAAATAAAAAATAATAATAATAAAAAAAAACCCAAACAAAGATGTTTTTGCAGAAGAAAGCAGAGTTAACTTCCAAAATGCCTCCTGTATGGAGTCTGACACCACTAGGGTGAGGCTGGTAAACCATTCTGCTTCCCAAAGGTGCTAACTGATCAAGCAGCACCCCTTTATCACAAAAGGCATGTAGCAAGGGAAGCCATCAGTTGGGGAGCAGGTCATCTGAAGAGATATGCCAAGAAAGCATAAGGCACTAAAGAATGTCTTCACCCAAAAGGCTTGTAGAATTTGACTTTGTATGAAAGGCCCAGAAAAAGCAGAGCTGTTCCAAGCCATTCTACCTAAATAAAATTGTAGCTGAGCCTTCTAAAAATTGTGTTAAAAGTTACCTGTCAGGCTGGACATGGTGGCACAAGACTGTAATCCCAGCAACTTGGGAGGCTGAGGCAGGAGGATCACACATTGGAGACCGGTTTAGACAACTTAGCAAGCCCCTGTCTCAAAACAGAAAGGGCTGGGGATGTGGCTCAGTGGTAAAACATCCATGGATTCAGTCCCCAAGTACTGCAAACGAACAAACAAAAACTTAACCATCAGGAGTTCAGCATGAAAAGGAATGTTATTTTATTTCACATACTTTCCTACATTGAGAGGAGAATCATGAAGAAAAGATCCAGATTAAAGATGAATTTTGGAAATTCATTCATCTGTTCTACAAATACATAGTGAGGCGGATGCTGTGCTGTGCAGTATCCAAATTGGCTCAAAGAATTCAATACCCAGTAGAAAAGACAGTGTAGAGGAATCCTACTTGCTGAGGCAAGGGCAGCCTTCTAGCCTAGGAGTCTGAGAGGCAGGAGGATCCCAAGTTTGAGGCTAGCCTCAGCAATTTCGAGAGGCCTTAAACAACTCAGGGAGCACCTGTCTCAAAATAAAATATAAAAAAGGCTGGGATGTAGCTCAATGATAAAGTACCCCTGAGTTCAATTTACAATATGGAGAAAAGAAAACCTAGTCTGGAACACCTGGGAACAAATCCTAGGAAGTGCTATTGAAGCTGAAAACTAAATGATACAGGTGAGGAAGAGGAGAAGAATGCATAAGATGGGAAGAGGGAAGATGTTCCTAGAAAAGAGAACTGCAAAGTTTTTGTTTTGTTTTTGCTGATTGGGATGGAACCCAGATGACCTCCTGCATGCTAAGCAGTTGCTCTATCGCTGAGCCATACCCTCAGCAAAAAATTGCAAATATGGTGCACACTCTTAATCCCAGTGACTTAGGAGGCTGAAGCTGGAGGATCTCAAGTTTTAGGACAGCCTCAACAACTCAGGGATATGCTGTTTCAAAATAACAATAATAATAATAATAATAAAGAACTGAGGTATAGCTTTGTGATAAAATACCCTGGGTTGGGTCACCAATATCACTTCCTCCCCCAAAATGATGCAATCTGTTTTTTGTTGTATGTGTGGGGGTAGTTGGGATTGAACTCAGGGGCACTCAACCACTTAGCCTCATCCCCAGCCCTATTTTTTGTATTTTATTTAGAAACAGGGTCTCATTAAGTTGCTTAGGCTCTCACGTTTTTTTGTTTTTTTTTTTTAATTCAGTTATAGGTGGACACAATATCTTTATTTTATTTTTATGTAGTGCTCTGAGGATTGAACCCAGTGCCTCATACATGTGAGGCAAGCGCTCTCCCTCTGAGCCACAATCCCAGCCCCCAGGATCTCACTTTTGCAGAGGCTGGCTTTGAACTTGGGATATTCCTGCCTCAGCCTCCTAAACTGCTGGGATTACAGGCATGTGCCACAGCACCCAGATGCAACCTTAGTTAAACATTTTATTTGGGGCTGGGGACATAGCTCAGTTGGTAGAGTGCTTACCTTTCATGCACAAGGCCCTGGGTTCAATCCCCAGCACCACAAAAAAAAAAAAAAAAACAACATTTTATTTGTTTGTTTGTGTGTTTATGGTACTAGGGATTGAAACCAGGTGCACTTAACCACTAAGTCACATCCCCAGCCCTTTTTATTTTTTATTTTGAGACAAGGTCTTGCTAAATTGCTTAGTGCTTACTAAATTGCTGGTGCTGATCTCAAACTTGCAGTCCTCGTTCCTTAGCCTCCAGAGACGCTGGATTATAGGCATGTGCCACCACACTTGGCTCAAATAATTTTATTAGCCTAAATTTGTGAAAAATGCCTACCTGATTTGCTTTCAAAATGTTGTCAAATTCCCATAAGACTATCAGAGCAATGTGCTCAAAGTTGACTCATTAAGCTGACTTCAGCAGGGAGAAGGCCACCTTGATGAAGACAATTAAGTCTCAGAAGGGGCAGAGGGATGATTAGGGAAGTACTAAGGGTTTGGGGGTCTAGGTGCCAATGGCTAAAAGAAGATCCTTCAAGGCACTGACCCTGGTTAGAACTGGTAAAATTCATGACAACAAAATGAGAATTTTGGAGAGAGTTTTTGATAAGCAAACTTGTCAGCAAGGCAAGCTCTTTGTTGAGGTGAGAGAGCTGTTATCTAAACAAGAGAATTGTTCCTGCAGATGATCTGCTCAGATACCCTGGCTGGCAACCACATCCTGAAGTAAACAGTTTTATCTTCCTGGACAAGAGTTGCCTGGTATGAAGGATGAAGATCAGCAATCTCATTTCCCACTTTCCCTTCAAAAATTCTCCTTTTTAAATTCATTGTATGTGAGAGCCATGAAAAGTAGTTCAGAAAAATCAATCACAGAGAGTGCGACAAAATATTAAAATTCTTAATGCATTAAGAAACATATTACTACTATACCTACATATGCTGTAAGTCTTTATTTTATTTATTTTTATGTGGTACTGAGGATGGAACCCAGTGCCTCACGCGTACTAGGCAAGCACTCTACCACTGAGCTACATTCCCAGCTCTGCTATAAGTCTTTAAATGTGAAGGCTAAAGAAGTTTAGAATAAATACATCAGGGCTGGGTTGTGGCTCAGTGGAAGAGCACTTGCCTAGCATGTGTGAGGAGCTGGGTTTGATCCTCAGCACCACATAAAAAATAAATAAGTGAAATAAAGGCATTGTATCCATCTACAACTAAAAAAAAAATTAAAAAAAGAATAAATGCATCAAAAATAGTCAGACCACACAAACATTGGCCAATGGAAAGCTGGAGTGTCTATATACCTCAGATAAGTAGATTTCAGGACAAGGAATACTAGCCGAAATAGATGTTTCATGATGATAAAAGGCTCAATTCATCAAGAAGACATAACAATCCTAAATACATATGTATGCAGTTGATAATAGTTCAGAACAGTCTGTTGCATGAAAAAGGTGTTCGAACAGGGGTAAAACTGAGAAGGGACCTTGACTGTTTCTCAATTATTTATTTATTTATTTATTTATTTTTGGTCCTGGGGATTGAACTCAGGGGCACTCGACAACAGAGCCACATCCCCAGACCTATTTTTGTATTTTATTTAGAGTCAAGGTCTCACGGAGGTACTTAGAACCTCACTTTTGCTGAGGCTGGCTTTGAATTTGTGATCCTCCTGCCTCAACCTTCCCAGCCTCTGGGATTACAGGTTTGGGCCACAGCATCCAACAACTTCTCAATTATTTAATTGTTTCTTGGGACAGTGTCTCACTATATTGCCCAAGCTATCCTCTAACTCTGAGGCTCCAATGATCTTCCTGCCTTGATCTCCTGAGTACCTGGGACTATAGGCACATGTCACTGTGCCTTGTTTCTCAATTATTGTTGGTTATTTTTCCTTCCTCTCCCAATAACTAATAAAATAATAAATAGAACCAAAAATAGATTAATAACAGAAATTTTATTGTTACCAAATTTATTATTATTACCAATTATTATTACCTAAGAGTTTTTAATTTATAGAATATAATAATATTTATAGAA